AAAAAAAAAACAAAAAAAATTTCCAATATGGCGGCGTAATATTTGATTTCGTTTTATTTTTATCGAAATTTTTTTCTTTTTTTTTTTTCCCCTCGTTACAAATCTATATTATACCTTTTCAAAGTTCGAAATAAAAAAAATAATAATAACCTTTTTGATAACCTTTTTTCGTGACCTTTTTCATCCTCTCTCTCACTCATTAAAAAAAAAAAAAAAAAATTATTATTTATGCATTTTATGCAACTACTTAAAAACTCACATATTTATCATCATCTTTTTTTTTTAATTAATTAACATAATTTTATTTATTTCTATATTTTAATAGTAATAATAATAATAATAACAACAAAACAAAATCAATATTGATAATTAATTATTAAATATTGTTTTTTTTTTAATTTAAAAAAAAAATTTTACGTTTTGTTTTTATTATTTTTATGAAAAAGACGACGAAAAGAAAAAAAAATTTTTTTTTTTGCCAACTTTGTAAATTTTGCATTTATTATTATTATTATTATTATTTACGATGGTTATGCCTATTCTCAAATTACATAAATAAAAAAAATAATAAAAAACTTAATAAAATAATTCGAAAAGTAATTAAAACGAAAAAAAAAGTGAAAAAAAAGAAAATTTTTATATAAATTTATGATTTTTTATTAAAAACACGTGGCAGGTATAAATTTCAGTTTGCGACCACGTTTAAAGCCTTTAAACATACGACCACGTTTTTATCCCTGTCTTATTATTATTTTTTTTTTTTTTTTACTACAAATTTTTCTATTTTTCTTACAAATTTTTTTTTTTTATTCTATTCTCGATATTTTTCTACCTCCACTTCATTTTTTTTTCTTTTTCAGAGAGAGAGAGAGAGAGAAAAGAAAAGTTTGATAGTTTTTTTTTTTTAAATGACGGGTAAATAGAACACGATTTATTTAATAGAATCGAAATTCAGTTTAAATTTTTTTTTTTTTTTGTGGGAGGAAAGGGAAAGGGAGAGGAAGGTTTTACACGTTTCTCAACCATTAGTATTTTTCTGTATTTCCCCCTTCTCTCCTCTCGTTACACAATCTCTCACACTTTCGCAGCATCTCTCTTTTTAAACGGCAAAAAAAAAGCCCAACAGATAAACAGATAACAAAATCAGATTTTTTCCAGCCACATTTCAAACAACATTTATTTGCACAAACCGTTTTATATAACGAAAATTTTGGTTCAGTGAACAGAATTTCAACCATTATTTATTCACAATTAATAAAACTCTTCACCCCTTTTTTTATATATATTCTCTCTTTCTTTCTCTATCTATCCCTCATTCACTTCCTCTTTCTCTCTCTTTATTTTTCAGTTTATTTTATTATTATTATTTTTTTTGTACGTTTTGCTTTGTTAATTTTTGGTAAAAAAAAAAAAAAGTTTTTAATTCCATCGTTTAGTTTAATAAAAAAATAGGGTTGAAATAAGGTTTTGTTAATTTTTGCTGACTGATAAAAAAAATTTTTTTTTTTTTATTAATATAAACAATTATTATTATTATTATTAAACTTTCACGCACCTTTCCATCCCCTCCTCCCTCTCGCACACGTGTCCCTCACAAAAAATAAAATAAAATAAAAAATAGAAATTTTATTTAATCAGTTTAAAAAAAAAAAAAAAAATGAGGCCACTTTTTTTTTTCTTGTTTGTCCTTCGACATTCCCCCCATTGCTGACCTTAATTCAATCCGTCTCGATTTAAGTTTTGTCTGGACCAATACGAGAGGAAACCTTAGATTTGGATCGAGTAATTCGATCCGTCATGTCTAGTTCGAGAGGAAGAATACAGGAAAAGGGAAAAGGCATCTCTCGTCTAATTCAATACTATGTCGAAAAATGTCTGGAAATGGAAATTCGAGATGTAAAAAGAGAAATATAGGATAGGACCTAATAAAACATAAAAAAAAAAAAAAAAAAACTGTAAATTTTGCAAAATGAAATGTTTTTTTTTTTTTTTTTCTCTCGTTTTCCTCTCGTCTTCTCCTTCCTCAGACGAAAGAGATGAGAAAAAAAAAAAACAAACAACAAC